TTTTCCTCAATTGTCCGGAGAAATTTTCATAAAAATTTGAAAAACCCGGAATTCCGGGAAAATCCGGAGGACTTTCATCTCTGTAAAATAAAATGTTTAACAACATGCAACACTCCTTCGGACCTTCTATGACTCTGGTGGCCTCAGCCATTCATTATGGCATAGTCTGCTGGTCAGGCAGCATCTCAGGCCGGGATGGAGAAAGACTGGACCGACTGGTCAGGAGGGCCAGCTCTGTCCTGGGCTGCTCCCTGGACACTCTGGAGGAGGTGGGCAACAGGGGGATGCTAGCTAAACTAACAGCCATGATGGACAGACCCTCACAACCCCTCTTCAGCCAGAGTCTGATACACCCATCCTGCAAGAAGGAGAGGTACCGCCGCTCGTTCCTGCCGTCTGAAGACGGTTCTGAAAACCTGGACTCACCCCCACTCACCCATTTTTAATATGCTAATATTTATATTTTATATTTATGTTTATTTATATACTTTTTGTCTTCTACTTTCTCCCTTTCATAATTTTGCTGCTGTAAATTGGGAATTTCTCCATTGTGAGACAAATAAATATGCTCCTTGTCATTCATTCTAGATCACCTGTTTTGTGGGTTTTGGGTCTGCCGTTGGAGAAGTAAAGAGGCTCGACAGCTTTTAGCTGAACCAATTAGCCTGGCCCCGTAGCCCCTCTTGAGTTTACATTACCTCCGCCGCTTGAAGGGCCTGCCAGACCCAGCAACAATTCACAAAGATTCTGCTAGTCATGCAATCTAATCCAGGATGTTGAAAGTGTGGCGAGAAGACAATAGAACTCATCAATTTCTACTTTAATCCAAAGTGCGATATAAATAAAGACGTATTTTACTGTATTGTATATTATCGATTAACTCTACACAATTACAGTATCCAGCACCACAGACAAAAGCACAGTTAAAAAGGAAAAGGAACGACTCGGTCGTCCTCAGTCTGCGGCGGGTGCCGGAAGCCATCATGCCCTAAATTGGGGCCACGGCCGTCATGCCAGCTGACCGCCAAGGCAGCCTCAGGCTCTGATTCAAGTGAATGTCAGCAGTGCATGCGCTTGTGAAAATTTTTTACCCCAAGTTTCAATATTTACAATAAAAGTGTTTTATTTGAGTCAAGGAGTCTTTAGCTGGTTGTACATGTACAATGTATATATTTTTCTCAATTTGTACACCTGTGTGCCCAAATTGGGGGCACTACAGAGCCCTGTAAAGCAGGGGCCCCCCAACCTTTTTTGCCCCACGGACCGGTTTATGTCAGACAGTATTTTCAGGGACCGGCATTTAAGGTGTGGCGGAAATAATACAACAAAATAATATGGTATGAGCTGCATGAAAACTGTGGCGTTTTCGAAATATAATAATAAACACAAGGAGCGTCTCATCTGGCCGCAACACTCCGATCGCTATGGCAATGTTTAATGCCTTCAAAATACGATACAACGCAAATTCAAAGTGCATGAAAATGACGACTCACCACAGCACCGAGCTTGATTTTCTGCAACCAGACGATCCCATCTCGGGGTAATAGGAAACAATGACACCTCAAGTGTGTGGTTTATATCCAGTCTACTTCGTAATTTTGTTTTCGTCGCCGTTGCTGCAGAAACCCCCCGCCTCACACAGGTAGGATGTCGGAAATAGCAATAGTGCTATTGTGGCGATCTCAGAGTATTCAGCCATAACTTTAATCCAGTTGTCTCAAACGTACTTTTAAGGCCGCCGTCATTTGCGATCTCCAGCAGTTTTTTTTACTCATTTTGCGAGCTCCTGCGTTTTGTTTTGAAGTAATCGTTCACGCAATGGAGAAGCGTGGCTTGACGTGTGTCAAGAGTGACACAGACGGATGTAACGGAGAATCCGGTAGTTTTTCAAAATAAAACATCTTTCGTATTCTGAAATAAATAAACGGAATTAAGGCAAGTTCTTTCTGTGCGGCCTGGTACCAAATGCCCGGCGGACCGGTACCGGTCCGCAGACCGGCGGTTGGGGACCCCTGCTGTAAAGGACTCCAACATGGCGGACTTCTTAGTTAGCTCCTTCACACAAACGATTGTTTTGATTGATGCTGACGCTGCTGGATTGAAGATCAGGAGCAAAGTCCGGAATGGACTACTGCTCACATTGAAAATTTTGGATGTAGACCCATTCAATCCAAAATTGTTTTTTTGGGTGATATCGGACTGATGTACACTATAAATATGGGATTGGGACATTACATTATCTCCATTGGCACGCAGCTTCCAAAAAGGTTGTATGAAGAGCCAGGAGCCTTCATTGCCGGTCCCGTCCAGTGTGACGCGCATTGCGTTCTTCTCCAGAAGCGCTGGCAAACGCTTGTTCACAGTCAGGTACTTGTTGCTCTTCATGTGCAGCAGCTGCGGGAAGACGAAAAATGAATGAATCAAATGCTGAGTTATGTTTTCCTTGTTTTGTACACTGCTTGTCAAGGGCAGCTTTTTCCAGCCTTTTTCCCCTGGAGGAGCGCAACGTTTCATTGGCATCTTTAGGTATCAAAGAACAAGCAAAAACATGCAGTAATACTGTACTACACATAGTGAAACACTCGAACATTATGTAGATTACCTTGTCAGGTGACGTGTAGCGTAAATTGGGTTTCTCCAAAGAGCTTAAATAATTAATAGCAAATGGAGCTTTTTTGTCTTTGTTGTCTAACCTTGAGAGCCTATTAGGGCACCATGCCTGTTTTTGAATTATTTTAAAAGATAGCAGATGAAAAAAAAATCTGTCATTAATTCGTAGGATAGTACACTTGGAGAGTTTTGAATTAGTTGCCATACCAGTGAATAACTATGATTCAAACACACACACAGCACGCAATCCAGTTCCTATGTGTACATTTATTTTCTACTCTACTTGGGAATTTAAACCGTTACATCAGGAAATTAACTCCTGGGAAAGGAGGAGCAAAGAATGAGGACTTAATAGGATAAGTTGAAGTAAAAAAAAAAATAAAAAAAAAAGAAGCAAATCATAGGCACGGTGGGCAACTACTAAGAACATGTGATTCACAGTGCAGAGGTTGTGGGTTCGATTCCAGGCTCCAGCCTTCCTGTGTTGAGCTTGCATGTTCTCCATGTGCCTGTGTGGGTTTTCTCTGATTACTCCGGTTTCAGCCCATACTTCAAAAACATGCAAGGTCGGTTGACTGAATGCTCTAAATAAGGGGTGCCCAAACTTTTTGGACCGAAGATCTACTTTTCGATCAACTAACCTCCCGGGATCTACCCTTACACACACGCGCGCGCACGCGCGCACACACACACACACACACACACACACGCACGCGCACGCACGCCATGATGAGAAACAGCCTGAAACTGAGGCATGCGATGCACTTTTGCAGCCTGTTAACTATCGTAGCTCACACGTACCGTTTTAAAGTGCTTCCCTGGGCCCTCCTAGATTCCTATTATTCGCCCGTGCCCTCGGTGAATTGTACACGAAGCAAACTCTGAATGAGAATAATGACGATAAAAGATACAGCACAACAGCTCTGATCACAAGCTGCAATTGCAGACTGCTGAGCGCTAATAACTTCCAGTGACGTAATCACGTGCCACCGTAAATTCAAGATTTACCTACTTTATTTTATTTTTTATTTTTTATTTTTTTTGTGAAAATGAGACTGAAAGGATGATTAGGGTGCAGCGTACATGAACACAAAAAATATATTACTAACATGTACAAAGACACACAAATGGTTGGTTGTTTTTTTTTCTCCTCGACACTCCTCGGATCTACTTGGGACCTGTCTTAGATATACCGGTAGATCAGGATCGACGTAATGGGCACCCGTGCTCTAAATAATCCCTTGTTGTAATTGCGAGTGCGAATGGCTGTTTGTCTATGGTTGTGTGCCCTGCGATTGGCTGGCAACCAGTTCAGGGTGTACCGAAGACAACTGGGATAGGCTCCAGCACGCCCGTGACTCTTGTGACGTTGAGCGCAACACATAATGGATGGAGGGAAGTACAGTAATCCCTCGTTTATTGCGGGGGTTACAAAAAGAACCAGTGATAAGTGAAATCCGTGAAGTAGGATTTATAAAAAAAATATATAAATAAATAAATAAATAAAAAAGCAAAAAAATGCGAGAGGGATGAAATTTCAAATGTGCTGTCTGTTTCACATACAGCACGTTTGAATATAAAGTTGTACTTGGTACTTGATAGTCAGCTTTATTTTTTACAGTTATGATACAATACTGAACTATGTATACAATGCAGAGGCGATTGCTCTAAGACTGCAAGGGAAGCTCAGCTTCCCCTATAATGTCAAAAAGTAAGTGATCAAATATATGTGTGTACCAAATACTGTATATGTGTGTACGTACAATTGTGTGGACATGTCATTGACTAAATATGCGCTACAACGCGCTCAACTTTTGTTCCAAATCAGCTTCTTATTACTGGTTATGATGCGACTCTCTTCTCATTCATTCCCACGGTTCCACTGTGCTTTAAACTGTGTGGACGCTGAGCGTCGACCGCGCGGACGCTGGGCTATAAGGTTAGTTTGTCCCAATGCATTGAAACGAGACGAGTCATTGGATAAATGCTGGTTTTGTCCCGCCCATTGGAGGCTCAGCGTCTCTGGGAGTCTACGGACAGTGGGCGTGCAGATGCTCAGCTTTTCTTCATGATCATTGGATGATCTTGCTGAGGCTGAATCTCATTTTGATTGACAGCGAAATGAGCCAATGATCTTATGGTGAAGGCATCTTTTTTATTTTTTTGAAAAGGAACAGAAAGTAGAATTCACGTAAAAATAAACGGACACATTTTATGATGAAGGCTGAAATTGAGCTTCCCTTCCTTGACAGACCAGCATCCGCCACTGATACAATGAAACCAAAGACCAAAAATTTGCAAAGGTAAATTTGGCAAACTGTACAGAGACGAGGTACAGAGACTGTTCACGTCGGTTAGTGTGTTACCATTGTTACTTAACAGCGCATGTAGACTGGCATCCTTCTGCCTAACATCCTAAGAATGACATGATGAGGTGTTTTCTTCAGCCATACATCGGCGTGTTTATTTGAACAGGCAGAGAGAGAGAGAGAGAGAGAGAGAGAGAGAGAGAGAGAAAAAAGAGGAGGAAGGAGAGAGAGAGAGAGAGAGAGAAATGAAAAACAGCGTGCCCCTTTTATATGGATGACTACGTCATGCACCACGAACAAGTGTAGAGTATTTTGTATTGTATTGTATTGTGTTGTATTGTATTGTTTATTGAACATATATAGAACATACAATAACAGATTGACAAAATGCAAACAAAAGTCATAAAAGGAAAAAATAAAAGTAAGTAAAACAAACATCATCACAGTTATATGCTCAAAGGAGTAGGAAGAAGTATACAACTTATCTAGTCCTACCCCTTGTTGTGTAATAATGTGTATTGATCATTTTTCAATACCAAAGAAAAGGAAGAAATCTACATATCATCAAATACTTTTACCCTTATGTGTACTGTACTTATCTATTTATACACCTTTTGGTTTATATATATATATACATACATACATATATACATACATACATACATACATACATACACATACATATTCATACAAAATTGTTCTTTCTACTTTTTATATCAAATGTCTCATATTCATTATAAATACTGCATTTCTTGAATACATTCAATAATTTGTTAAAAAATCCAAAACAAGAACAATCCGTTGTATTACTATATTTTATAAGTACTGGTATATAAAATTTATCTTCTTAACTTTGATTTATGTAGTTTTTTTGTACTAATCGTTTAAATTTGTTTTTGAACTCGTCCAGCGATTTACTCATTTTCAGATCCGTCTCAAGCTTATTCCACAGATTGACTCCTATTACTGATACACACCTTTGCTTGATGTTTGTTCTTGTTCTGGATTTTATGTATTGATTAATACCTCTTAGATTATAACAACTATCTCTAATTTCAAAAAGCTTCTGGATATTTTGGCAAAGGAGATTGTTATGTGCTTTATACATTAATTGGGCGATTTTGAAGTCAACCTGGTCATAGAATTTCATTGTGTTTAATTTGATGAATAGTGGATTTGTGGGTTCTATATATTTCGACCTATTGATTATTCTGATTGCTTTTTTTTGTAGTTTTAAGACAGGGAGTGTGTTTGATCTACAGGCGTTCCCCCATATTTCCACACAGTAGGTCATATATGGGAGTAATAATGAGTAATATAATGTGTACAAGAAACTCTTATTCAACACATCCTTAGTTTTGTGGAATATCCCGATAGTCTTGGATATTTTTCTTTTAACGTTATCAATATGTGGCTTCCAGGATAGTTTGGTGTCTATTACTAGTCCAAGAAACATACAACACATTTTCATAAACTCTTTCTATTTCAATTGAATTTATCTTTATTTTAACTTGGTCTTTAATTGGTCTCGTACCAAAAATAACTAACTTAGTTTTTGTTAAATTTAAAGATAGTTTATTTCTGTCGAACCAGTTTTTTAATTTGGCTAATTCATTTTCCACAGTTTTCAGGAGTTGTTTCATATTTTCTCCAGAGCAGTAAAAGGTTGTATCATCGGCGAATAGGACACATTTGAATTGTTTTGAAACACT